ATGATGGCTAATTATTAGGATGCGTGGTGTTGGGGAAAACGTTCACGTGCCAAGTCATGCTGGTACATATACGCATTAATCTGTGGCGTTGAAGATGTGAACCGTTTGTCTCAGATCTATTTGATTTTGGACGCTTCAGATCAGTTGAGGTTTGATCCAATAGCTAGGATTAAGTCCTTTAATGGTATAAAAGCTAGAATCTTACCATTTCCATACTTTATTTTCGTGAAACACTCATCAAAAACTCTCAAGCTTTCTTATTGTCAAAGTTTTTTCGGCGAGTCTTCCAGCGAGTCTCCTCATTCATCTAGGTATTCTTTCGTTAAGGAACATTACTCTCAACACCATTTCTGTAATCTTTTCATAATTTTCTTTAATTGTAATGTCTGCCGAGGCGTCTATGGCTATTACAGTGGCTAGGAGTGGGGAAGAGTCGGTGTTTGGGGCTTCGGGTGAGTAGTATAGCATGGCCGACGAGCCTATAGATTACGAGGCGGGTTGGGGGGCAGCCAAGATTCCATCCATCATAACCTCTCCCAAATTAGCCGAACTTAGGGAAACCTATCGCATACCCTATTACGTTGAGTTGATAGTCCCTGAACCCCACGAAAGAGCTTGTTTTCCGAGGCCAAATTGCGTAGCTTTCAGTGAATACCTGCTTAAAGCAGGTGTGCGTCTGCCTCTACATCCTTTCTTTAGGGCGGTACTGAGGACCTTCATGTTGTCCCCTACTCAAATTCTCCCAAATGGGTGGAGTCAAGTCATAGGGACCTACTTTCTTTGAAAGGAGGTGACTTTAGGTGAGGACTTGCCTTTACATGTCTTCGAAACTTTATTCCACGGTACAGGTCGTAGGGAAGGACGACTCGAAGGGGTGATACTATATCACCCCTTGGCGATCTCATTCCCCCTTCGTAGTTGGGCTCCCCTCTTTCATAAAGGGGTGGAAGGAGTCCTGGTTCTGGGTGACGGGTAGGTGGCAGATGGTTGAGGGAGACGCAGTC